AATTTTCAGGAAAATAAATTTAGTTCAATTATTTTTTGTTTCTTCATGAACATATGTAAAGATATAAAAACTTTTCTGAAATAGGTAGGAAAGTCGTGTGAGTGGACACACCAGATATTTTTTCTATTTATTCATGATATTTACAACTGTATTAAAATATAAACACACCAAGTAAATTTATACACAGGAATCAACATAATGTAATAAAAAAATGCTTGTTGAGAAACTACACATTGGTAACAGTCTAATAAAATAGGAAATCACGAGGCCATCTTCTTTTCTGAAACCTCGGAGAGTTATTAGGGATCGAAGATGAATCAAAGTTAGAAATGATAATAAGTTCTCATTAGGTTACGAAGTTCATTATGAAAAGAAAAGTATTTAGATTGGACCAAATCGGAAGTATATTGAACATTAAGGTCGTTATCGATGATTTTATTTGTAACAAAGTAAGGACCCTTGAGAATTTTACGAAAGATTTTGGATTGTAAGGATTGGATACGAGAGGAATTTGATGAATCCTAAAGGATTTGAGAGGTAAGTCTAAATACACATATAAATTATATTCATGTCTATGTGTTTTTGTAATTAATTGGAAGCTTGGAGTGTTTGTCTAGAAAATGCTGAAGTATCCCGGATACGTTGAGCGGTTTATTGTCGTTTCAGTCTGGTTTGAGGAATCCAAGTGAGACGTTGGTCCAGATGGTATCGGATTTGTTCAACAAAGAAGAATCGAGTATTATTAAAGGATCGTCATAGGTTTACGATGTACGAATTAAACATTATTTATACCATTTTTTATTTACATAAGAATTATGAAACCTGGGGTGCCATCTCAACCAAGAATGGTTGTGCTTCAATCAAATATTGAAATTTTCTTATTTAAACAATGGTTATGAAACTTTGAACATCGTTATCTGGTGAGCCAAACATGTTATTTGTTTGGTTGGTTTGTAAAACAGCTAGGTCATCAATGCTCGTTAGGTATATTACTTTAGGTCTATCGTAGGTTAGCTACTGTTATTAGTTATTTTAGCCTGAGGATCCAAACTCCAGATACCAGAAGAGATCCAAGTCCGTCAATGCGTTGCATGCTATACATAGATGTGGTAGGACAGATCATTTGATGTCCCATCATGCTATAATACACTATGATAAATAATTATTATAATTACTGAAGTCAGTTTTGGCTTAATTGACAGAGGAAGTAAATAAACGAAAACATAAATATTACAGAATTTTTAAAGGAGTATATTTAGTATATTATTTGATTTTGCATGTTTTACTTAAGGGTTGTATGCATAATCGTTCATTTAATTCCACCTAAAAAGGAATACTTTTATGTAACTCAGATAAGAGCCCTTTTAGCCCATTTGATTTTGTTTTTCTTCTTTTTTTGACGAAGGTTTACGTGGATTTAGAGGAGCCGTATGAACACAACCCTAAGAGTATGCAAAGAGTTTCTTTGATGGCATCAGGTACGGAATTGTCATTCCGTGGCAATAGTTGTTCTTGGTACTGAGAAATACACTTTGTTTTGAATTGATCACAAAGTGCAGACTCGCTTTCTAGTCCGACAGAAGACTATGGCTGCGCTGGTACGGCCTGTTAACGACTACAGGCATCAATCAAAGCGCGCGCTTTCCGCCAACCTAAGCTCTATAGATAATCACACTTGTATTGTAACCCAAGACCAAACCGGTTGCATATGACTTTGCTACATTCTGCTTTTGACGAATATGACAATAAATAACTAATTCTACATAGATATTTTATATTTACTTCGGCCTTAAAATTAATAAAAGAAATTTTTGATAATATAGACTAATTTTTTTTTTTTTTTTTACTGGCGAAATCGCTAAATACCGTTAAATTAATTGATTACAAGCCAGCTAATTATAATTCTTTTAGCCCGTACAAGCTTTTTAATTTCAACAGCCTGAGTAGAATAATAACACATCTGTTGTAAGTTAGATTTTTCATGTTGGTATTTGTAATTTTTGTTTCAAGCCTTTTAAGGTAAATAAAAGGAAATTATGGAATGCAATACCCTTGTCATTAACGACTCATTTTGTCTCTCTCTCCAAAAATCCGATTCTCATTCCATTGTCAATTTAAATTTTTCATCAGAGTTTTACCTTTTAAGTTTTCATGGCATCTTACCCAGAAAACACTAGCAGTTTCTGTCTGATTTTTGTTTCGAAGAATAATTATGAACCTAAGAGCCATAACATGGAAAGTAACCATAATAAACCGTAATTTCCTCATTTACTTTTTACCTTATTTCTGAAGTATATTTCAAATGTGTTATTGTTTTCTTTTTAATAGAAAGCCTAGTTATATTACCGATTTTTTTTTTCAAATATAGTTATCTGTTAAATATAGAAGACTGTTAAAGTCGTCGCCTCTTTTTCATTATTATTTTAGCAGTCGATAAAGAAATAAGATCCTTGACAAAGACTTCCGATTTACTTCAGAAACTTAGAGCCTTAACAGCAATTCCCCACGCTGCTAGGCAATAGGAGATTTTAGGCTTGGGGAAGCTTACTTATCTTAAAGTACGATGCATGACGTATTTTATAATATAATTTGTAAACGTATTTGTTTTTATTTTATGGGTTGTTTCAATTCCAGAAATTTTTTTGGATACGAGAGAGAAGGAACATTTTTTTTCTTGAGAAAATGTTATTATTCCTCATTCCTATGCATAATTAATTATTGTTTAATTTATTTATTTTAACATTTTATGAAATTTGCACCTGCGCTGCAGCTCATCTGGAAAATATGGTGAATGAGCCATCTGTTGCGAATTTGCTTGATTATTATTTTTTTGTTTTTGTTTTTCCTTGTTATTAATGTAAAAGTAGGTCCCTTGGCCATTTTCTTTTCAGTCTGCGTCGATCAGGTAACAGAGAGCAGGAAATAGAAAGGATTAATGGATTGATGTGATTTAGAATTGAAGAACGAAATGAACTGTATTTGTTGTGGATGTAGGATTTTACTGTTGGGATGTTTAAGTCATTGTATATAGTTTTATTCGAAATGTACTAAGGTGTGTTGACAATTTTTCGTAGAAGTTCCTATTGTGTTGTTTGTATTTTATATATGTGTGTTTGTTTTTCCGAACCCCAAAGTTTTGCTTCGTATGTCCAAATTGGTCTCAGTATAGTCTCGTAGATCAGTAGCTTGTTTCGTAAGTTAAGTGAGGATCTGTCCAGAAGATGTGATAGTTGGTTGTATCGTATAGTCAGTTCTTGTCTTTTTAATTTACTATGTGTGTTCCAGGTAAGTATAGTATAGTGTAGTCTTTTGTCAAAAGTCTTTTGTCTGAGTTGAGTCCGAGGTACCGTACATAGTTTTTTGAAGGCACTGGGTTATTGTCAATGATCATGAGACTTTCCTAAGAGAGAAACTCACGTGGGTGGATTTGCTACTGTTAATTTTAATTTTCCATTAAATTTAAATTTAATTTGTTTAATTAATAAAAAAAAACTAAGGTATGTGCTTTAGGCCACACGATATTAGAGGAAACATCAACAATGCATGATTAATAATATGAAATATAAATTATAAATAATAGCTCATTACAAAGAAGATGAAAGGCTGAACATTACCCTCGCTTACAGTATACAGATCCGATTTTTAGTATCGGAAAGAAATAAAACCTTATCATTTGGTTTCAACACTATTTTTCTATTTCGCTTTCCTAACACGGCGTCGCGTTAAGATACGATTTTAAATTATAGTAGAGAGGATGAAATGCTGGACAATTTCGTCGCTTGCAGTACACAGACCCGATTTATCGTTTAATCCATTTGTAAAAATATTTTAATTAGTCTACTCTAGCCGACTTTAACCGAGCGTTAATGCCGAACGAAATCTGATGGATCAATCTAATTTACTCTCCACGAAAATGTGTGAAACGAGCCTAAAGAAGTTTTCACTTCAAAAACTTCTACGATTAAAATTTGGTATTTATTTTAGCAAAGAGGGTTGCTCAAACCCAATGTTGAGAGAATCATCTATATGTACTTTGGAAGGAAATTGTGATAAATTGTGAATCTCAATCATACATGTCATGTCACTTAATGCATTTATACCAAAACAATATGATATTACATAGTTCATATAATATTACTGGATTATAGCGCATTGCTATATGAATGCATTGCTATATACATATGAAATGTATTTACTTTTCAATTTAATTTCACTTGAAACAGTACGATATCCTTCTATCTAGGAGGCAAATTAAAATAAAAACATAACATCAAGTTTCAAATATTATTTGTAATAAGGATAATCCATTAATTAATTAATATATATTGAAATTTATTTTAGTATTAATCATTATTTAAGTAATAACAAATGATGCTAAATCCTAATAGCATATTAAAACTTTTCATATAGTATTTATCATAGGTATTTTAGTACATAAATTGTACAAAGTTAATCCAATGTAATGTATGTCAACTTTTACTGTTTAAAGCTCAAAAAAGATTGGATTCCACTTTTGTAAAGGGGATGATGAAAGAGGTTGCGGCGACATTGAGATTGATAGTGAAATTTTAAATGTGATGAATTTGCCATGTATAGAAGGTTACATGCTGGTGACATACGTATGCACTTGTGAACTGTGTTATTTGAATTAAACTAAGGTGCGCTCCCAATTTGTAAAAGGATCTAAGGATTGGTTGTATTTTGTTTATGTGGTTTTGCTGAAACCCTAAGTTTTGTTCCGTAATTCTTGGCAGGTGTGATTGAAATAATTATTATTTATTAAGAAAGTTTATTCAGTCATATAAAACGAGAGGGTTCAAATGTCTCAAGATGAGTATAGAGAGTGTTATAGCCTCTCCAGAAGTAAGTTTCCTAAAATTCTTTAATGTCCTCCAGTACCAAGCCCTTTTCAGTTGTCAGTTCTGTCGGCGTGAAATCAAAAATTAACACAGGTAAGTCTCCCATTATTGGAGGAGGGGGGGAGGACCTGACTTCCAGGGATGCCCTTTGTGCCTAATCCAGGACAAAGGACCTCCGGTGCCGTGCAGTCTGGCCGGGCCTCCGAAGAAATTTACACACCCATTCAGTACCCCGGCGGGCCCATTCATGAACCCTGGCCCATTGACAATTTGTACCGTAGTACCGCGTACCTTTGTCCGCCTCTTCCCATTATACCTGAGCTCGTTTATCTTCGGGAATAAAAAGAGATGGATGTTTATTTTTCCATTTGGGGCATTATTTCGGGGCGGAATTCGCAGTCACTGCTGAGGGTTATTAAGGTTAATAATCCTGAATGGGGGCATTAGTCGGTTCATGGCGTAACTCGATTCCCATGATGGATACCGCCAGGCTGGGCGAACCAGTTCTTACTATATATAACGTAATGAGAATAACTGTTTCCTGCAATTCAAATAAAATATGTTGCAATAGTACTTGAACTTCAGTGTTGCCTCTGTATTATAATCCTCGACTGTTTCACTTACGTCTAAAATATCATTCAAAGCTGTTATAGCAGTTAATGATAATAATATCTCTGATCTTTTGAGAACTTTTATGGCTAATCTCTGCAAATGCTTTTTTATCGTACAAGAAACCATCTTCAGCCCCTCGAATGGCTTTCATAGCATGCCAATATAACTTGAGTGTTTTGTTTATTGATATTTCTCGAAGCCTAATATATATTTAATGCATGAGATAGTTGGATTAGATCCGTAATATTTATACGAATAAAATATTCTTTTTCTTCCACTTCTGCCTCCCTGCGTAGAAGAGACCCGATGGATAGAAGTAGTCCTCTCGGTTTTTTGGCATCATCCTTAGTTCTCCGCTGGTTTTTAGTCCTTTCTCAGTGCCCAGCCTGGTGAAATATTCCTTATATAATATCCAGGACCTGTCTCTAGGTCGTTTACCAGTCGAGCTTCCATTATTTTTCTATGTCTCGGTTCTCGCGATTTTCAAATAAATTATCATTTTTGTAATAAGCCTTTTTCTGATCATCATAAATTGTTTTCATAATTGTGGGTAAATGGTTGATTGTCGTGAATAATGAAGAGAAGAATAGTTGGGGTGATCAGTCAAATTAATTCCTGATAAGAAGGCAAAAATATATGATAGTATTTATTTTGACATTTGCCGACGTTTCGACCTGAAGTTCAGGTCATCATCAGGGCTACGTGTATAAAGGTTATGTGTATGTGTATGTTTGTATGTGTATGTGTGTATGTGTGTGTGTATGCGTATTTGTATGTGTATGTGTATATGTATGTGTATATATATATATATATATATATATATATATATATATATATATATATATATATATATTTATATGATATGTATTAATTACAATTATTCTCCATTATTACTCAACAGTTATTATCTTTGATTTATTGCCTCTCCAGAATTTCTATCAACTATTTAAATTTATTATAAATTTGTTTATAATTTATAAATTATTTATTTATTATAAATTTATTTTATATTAAACTATTTTATTGCATCTTTCTATCAACTTTCGTTTAATTATCCATAATATTTATGAGTAATATATCTCTCGTTCTTATGTACGCTTCCAGTACTTTAGTTCAAACTTCGTCAGATAACCGTTGGAGATGACGCCACTATACATCCCTTCCCTCCTCCCCCTGACTAACTTGCTCATTGCTTCGATTTATTTCTTTGCAGTCAGGTTTGTTTTTCTTTTTCTTTCTTAGTCTCTTTCTTATTTTAACCTTCTCAGTTTCTTTCCTCCTTCCTTTCATTTCTTTTCTCTGTTTTAACTCTTTATTATATTATACGTTGTCTGTACATGTTGATAGACTTTACAACGTCTCAATTTTCTATCTAACTATTCTACTCGCAATATCTTAATTTTACTATTTATTTCCATTTCTTATATAACTTCATATTTTTCTGTTTTAGATTTTATCCTAAGATTCCCATTTCAATACTTATGTCACCTTTTTTTATTATGTTTACTTCATCATTCCACACTTTGTACAGGTTATTATTATTTATCTCTTAGTTCTTACTATTGTCATTATTCTAGCAACTCCATTTTACTTTTATTTTTTTTTTACCTACACTACTTATGTTTCTCATACCTTGTTATCTGGTTCTTTTCTTAGCCCTGATGATGGCCTGAACTTCAGGTCGAAACGTCGGGAAATGTCATAATAAATATTGTCATTTATTTTTGCCTTCTTATTTGACTGATCACCCCAATTATTCTTCTTTTCATAAATTGTTTTCCACTTCGTCAACTTCTATTTTCGACGTATTAAACTTTTCATGGTTTCATTTCATTTTATTGAGAGGACTTGGATTTCAATGGCATTCCATAGTTATCTAATATTGCTTTTATCAAATTTAATATTTATTTTCATTTTGTGATGAATAATTATTTATATTTATATTATAAAGTAATTATCTTATTTATTTGAAAATAAGTCAATCCCGTTTCAAAAATAATTTGCAGAAAAAAATATAGAGGAAATGAAAAACAATTAACAAAAAACTGTTTTCCAAATTTAATATAATAATTATTAAGTTTTTCTAACTGATATTTTCTTTAAGTTTAATATATATTTATTTAAAATAACGGAGGGGAAAAGTAAAACGACGAGTAAAAACCTAATGTCCATATTTTTATACATATTATTATATATACGAGAAATATACATTCTTAAATTAGGTAATGCACAGATACCCTCAAAAATGTTATACATGTTTATATTAATTGCGTAGCAACACATATTATGTAGAATTGAATTTTACTTTTTAAAGAAAAAAAAAATGTCTATCTATTAATTGAATGAAAAAATGTTTTTGTCCATTTGCGTGACATTTTCATAGTTTAATATTTTTCAAATACAGACAAGTTTAAATCAAAGGAAAATAAAACACGAAAATGGAAAGTAAGCTATTTACATTAATTTGTATTGGTTGGTTTCCGATTACCGATTATAGTTAATTAAACAATATATAATTTCACATAGCTATATATATTAAAAGATAATAATGCTTATAGTAGATAGTTTATTCAAATGTTAATTCAAAGTACAATATCCTCCAGGTATCACTCTGTTTTTGTTTTATTTAACTTTTTTTTTGCAATACCGTTATGATTTTTTTTTTATGGCATTTTCTTTCTCCATAACGCGTTAGATAAGTGAAAGAGTTATAATTTATTATTAATATAAACTGTATTGAGCCTACTTCAGTTACAAACTTAGCTCAAATTTTCCTTGAACAAATCCGAATTTTTATTGAATATTGGTCAAGTTCTCGAATTTTAATGAAGATCATTTTAGAAAAAAAATATACCTGTATTCCAGCATATACAATATGCAATTATTGTGTATTTTAAAAAGATATCATATGTATTTGAAAACTTAATCAATTATTCTATTACTAATAAATTTTATTTAACAAAGTACATAAAAAAACAAAACATAATTTGAGAAAAAGAATAATATTTAAATCTAATCGCTAATATTTAATTCAATATGTGATATGAAAAACAACATAAAAACTTAGTTTAATAAGTGAAACAACGAATTTTACCGTAAATAATTTTTTAATGTTATGTTTTTTTTTTCACTTTTTATTTTTATTTCTTAATTATTTCGTATCTTTTTCGAATGATTTAAACTGTCTCGATTAGAAAATCCTAAAAAAAGTTTTTATTTTTATATCGTATACTCTGAATAAGACTTTTTTTTTTTGTTTGTCTTCAATTCTTCATCCGCACCTGTCATGGTAGTGAAAATTAGCAGATTTGTTGCTACGTAGAAAATGGCATGACAGTCATGACGAAGAATGGAGCCCAGCAGCACATCTTCCCTGGTCTGTTTACATCCTAAAATTAGGAAAGGAGATCTCTTATCCAGCTCCTTTTCAGTCGCCTCCTGATGAGCATTTCAGCCGTGGCCGTTGATAAGTCCATTGTGATGTCCATTTAGTTTAAGATGAAATTGGGAGTAGAGAGTAAGTATGTGCTGGTCAATGGTTGGTTGTCTTAGGTCGGTATGTTAAGTATTGTTGTTGACATACCAGGGAGCTGCAGTTATTAGTCTTAAAATTTTAGATTGAAAGGATTGTAGTTTTTGTGAGTCTTTTTTGCTGAACCGTAAATCTGTTATAAGATTAATTGTATATAATACATATTAAATGTTTCTGTAAAAAAAATTCTTTTTCAGAAATTACCAGAAAAATAATCCCGAGTTGTTTTTAAAACACTAATGAATGTAAAAGTGACACTGTTCAAGTTTCCGAAGTTCCGAAATTATTTGGTCGAATTAATTAAAAAAATTATATATAACAAATTAAGATTATTATGGCAGTTGTGGCTAAGGTTTATAAGACAGGACGCAGTTTGATCGGGTGAAAGTAAGAGATATTGAATTATTTATCACAACATCATATGCGAGTTGTTTTAAACAAGAAACATACCCCGAGGTAACTGGGTCATGATTTCAGAGAATGACTTTCAGTTGGTTTCATAAAGTACTTCTTAATGCATAAAGAATACTTATACTTTAAGAAAAACTTAATGGATGTTAATAAGAACACTCAGATCTGCTGTGAAAATGGGATGGCTTAGTTACCTTTTTTTAAAAAATTCAGGATTAGACTACACCCGTCATATGATCAACATGTTTGGTGATTAGTATATTTATTAATAAAATCGTTCTTATTTATGCTAAAATAGTAATATAGAAGCAGATAATTATTTGTTAATAATAAAAAACCCATTAAACATTCGAAAACACATCGTTGTTTGATCAAATATCTTGTTAAAAATTATTGAACCTTTTCAACTACAAAACGGCTCTAAAACAATCCTGTGGTTATAAAGGGAATCAGAGTAAGTGAAGGTGTACTAAATAAATAATATTATAATTCCTGCAAATGTGAATATGATTAATTCCTAGTCCAGTTTCCTCCAGTTCCACTTAAAAGCCTAAGGATTTGTGCAATATGATTTGTTTTGGGGATCTCAAGAGATACACATATTACCCAATATTACGCCAGGTTGAAGTGGTTCTATCCGTCCTACCGCTGTAAGTACTTCTATGTCACCTTTCTATACCAGGCTGTTTGAACCAAGCGACCCTCCTTTATTTTTCAGAACATATAATTTAATACCTCCATTCAATTACATTCCACCAGATCCCGTATGTCCGACCTCTATCCTCCT